TTTTATGTTGTTTCACCACAGCTTAACTTTAAACCCACATATCCCAGTGATAGTAACATTTTTTTCGAACTATTGTAATGCTGTTGACCGCAGTTGGCCTTTACAGCTTCAATTAACGATACGTGCGAGTTGGATGGCACTCCAGACCCTCGGAAGAATTTATGGAGTGGCAGAAGGCCAACTCTTTCCTGACGGATACGGCTTTAGCCTGAGGGCACCGCTAGGGGTTCGAACATCGGCTTGGGTCGTCGTAATTTCGATCCTCGTTTGAATTAGACGGGGATTGATCAGAAGCGAGATAGCGTCATGGCTCAGTTGACTGAATAATCATCATTATGAAACTAGCCTACACCAAAAACCTTTTTGTTAATTTATATTCCTAACTCTCATAATGGCAGGAGGAGATTATAAAAGCTCAGATAACTATGATTAATGGTGAAGACGATAATCGGCTGGCTTTCTAACATGTTGCATTAAATATTTATTTAATAACATCATGCTAACCAAGCTTTACGGTTCCCAATATGAAGTGCAGTTCCCACTTACGAAGATTGCATATATACACACACTTATACACGCTAGCTACTAATTACAAGGTAAAAATCTTAATTTTACATACTACCTAAATAATCTACTACCATCCTAAGACACATTAGCAAATTACTAGTAAATATGTCTATATCTGGAAATCGACTATCTTCACTGTTGAGTAGACGCAATGCCAGAGAAATATATAACAAAATGTATATATGCCATATGTTGTACACTCTGTCAAAGCAACTTGGTATAGATTGCTTGCTTGCTTTAGGTAGATACTCAAAACTCTAGAAGTTGATACATAAATACAACAATATGGCCACGACATACTGTACACAGTATTGTAGTCTAATAATAACAACATAGCAGAATGTAAATATATATAATCAATACATAGTATAAAAGAAAATCGCTGTCGCTGTCTGTCCGTCCCTATGTATACTTAAATCTTTAAAACTACGCAACGGATATTGAAGTGGTGTTTTAATAGATAGAGTAATTCAAGAGGAAGGATTCTCTGTATAATACATGGACACCCTATGAAGCCGGGGCGAGTAGCTAGTTACTAATAAAGTATGAAACAAGTGGTTTTAATATCCAGTATCTAATGAAACTTTTAAGCGGTAAAATAAACTTTACTCTTGATTTTCTCTCAGTAATTTATAGAGACACTACAAAGTAAAAGTACTATTTTATCGAGTTTTAAAGCATAAGTCTAATAATGAGGCCAGGCTAATTAAATCCTACTTTAGAATTCACAATAAATTATTTTCTGCTACACATTTAAGAAAGAAAGAAAGGCAATGTATTTATCCGATACACCCAAAAGCAAGTAATAATAAAACAATAAAAACACAATTGGAGCTCTAATGTGCATAATCAAAAATGTGATGCGGTGCCACAACACTGATATTCTGCGGAGAACTTCGTACTATTTAATCGTAAATATATCACTACATAGTATAAAACAAAGTCGCTGTCGTTGTCTGTCTCTATGTAACGCCTAAATCTTTAAAACTACGCAACGAATTTTGAAGCGATTTTTTTAATAGTTAGATTAAGTTATGTTAGTAAGAGGAAGGTTTATATGTATAATACATGATGTACACACGTACGTAGCCGGGGTAGGTAGCTATATTTATATATATCTAATAATATATAAGTAATAAAAATGACACTTCAAGGTTCACTTCACTAAATGTAAAACGGATTCCATTTCCTGCATTTAACTTAACATGTGAGCCGTTGTGCATGTAGTGCAGAGACTACTGTAGAAGCCAGCCAAGTGCTACCTAGATTTTAGAAAAAAACACTTTCACTACCATATTTCAACCTTGGACTGAAACACATCTTACAAAGTAAGCTGCTACATGGGCTGTAAACTATAGGGTGAACTGTATAACGATATGACTAAAAATAATATTTTGTACCTAAATAATTATTAATTTTAAATTTATACCTAAGTACTGAGACATCTTACAGATTATAAGTTTAATGGGAATGCGCTCCAATAACCTGTCCATTTATTGATTTCTCGCACATGAGGAAGGTATTGGTAAAAGCCTATATCCAACAGTGGATAGATACAAACTGAAAAGATTAATGATGCTAAAACTAAATATCTGTGTTTGTGTTCTTGTTTATGATCAGTATACCATATATACGCATAATGCTTAGGTCCATCGGTACCAACATTCCAGAGTCACTGAAAATAAATAAAGGTCAAGGGAAACCGAATGTTATGTCTATTTTCGTAAATGCAAAACATATGTTGCACGCCACTGGTCCGGCCGAGACAATTTCGGCTATTTAATGTGTTTTAATATTTGTTGAGTATGATTATTATCTAACGTGCAGTTAGCTGTACTGTTAATATAATTGAAGCAATTTTCATACCAATTATGGGCTAAATAATTAATATATTAAAATCTACGTACTACCGAATAGTTTTTGTAGTTCATTAGACACCCTAAAGTATATAATATACATCAATGGGCTTTTATTGAAAAAATATTCCTTAATTTAAAAGAAATCTATTAAGAATCCTTAATTTTAGTTTTATTAAAGATACATAATAAAACATTTTAAGGTGTCATATTGCATGATTAAATACTCATAAAAAATCATATCATATTAAATACCACTTGTGACTGGAGAAAGGTCTACTACTGCAACTATCCAATAAAAGTAGGAATTATTTACATGTAGGTATATATCAAAGTATATTTAAAAGCAACACAAAAATGATATATTAAAAAAGAGGTATCGAAATAACACAAATATTTATTAGAAATAGTAGACAAACTGCCAGCAACACCACTACTATGGAGAAATAAATGTAGGTTAAATAATAATAAACAAAATAAATAGACAGACATTAAATTATTTTCCATATATCTGCATTCTTTTCAATACATCGTTTATTATTTTTCTATATATTCTTCATATGTCATAACTCATATAATAATAATACAGCAATATAATAATGCGAATGAAGCAATTGTTTTATTTACATTACCATCCAATAATTCCTTTCAGTAGAATTCTTATGAATACCTCTTGTGTTACACTTATTTACAACACATCTATACAGAACTAAATTTGTATGGCAGCATAAGAGCTGCCGCGTATATCCAATAGAATATAAAGTATGAAATTTCGCACACCTATAATTTATATACAAAAGGAGTGCATATTACAAATATTCTTTGTTAATTAATCATATTAAATATATGGAATTAATGGAAAAACATTACACATACTACCATTTGTTTGTGACATACACATGCTTAATTACTTTTTGTTTATTTTTAAAGTATGTGGGCAAATTGATAAATAATAGATTAATATTATTTGTCAATAGTGTTACATAACCGTAATTTAAATTAATTAAGGTCGAATTTCGACTAATAGACGATCACTAAATTAAATATGCAGTGGAAACAAAACCATACACGTTCAATAAAGAATAAAATAAATGGAATATACCAGTCTCAATGACGGTTACATGTACCTATATGCCAGATTGATTTCAAACCATCTCGCCGAAACGGGGTCCTAATGCTACAGTCTCTGACTACCCCATCCGAGATTACTATTGGAGATTATGTCGTGTGGGTGTTATTTACGAAAATAACATGAATTAATCTAGTTTTAGTACTAATTAATAATATTAGTGGGTTATATTGATAAACCATCTAACACGTTCGGTATCCTTGTAATTATGATTTGAGGGCAGGAAATTATAAGCTAACCTATAATCATTTTGGTATATACTTGTTCGTAGTAATTAATATTGAGAAAGACAATTTTTTTTTATTCGGATTGACGACATCGAAAGTTTAGCGTTTACTTCCAATAGTTGCGGGTCGAGTCCTCACACGGCGCACACCTTTGTAATAAAAAGTATGATTGTTTTTATCGGTCTGGTTGTTTTTAATGTATATTATGCGTGTATATACTACAAATAAGTGTTTAAGTATGTTTATCAGTTGTTTAGTACCTACCCGCAGGGCTGTGTTATACAGATCTGCGCGGATAGGGCTTGATGGCGCTGTGTTAATTGTTCATGGTTATTATTATTAATTTTAATGCCGTCAATCATGAATGTTGTCTATGTCGCAGATAGATACTAGTTTATTTATACAATTAAAGTGGCTAACAAGCTTTATACTCATCTAATGGTGAGTGGTAATCGTCAACTATATACATGAACAGCATTATGGTTATGCCACTTATCCGTTGCGATATTATCCTGTAATTTAAATGCGTTATATCACCCTTCGAGTATATCAAGTAAACTGTTTGGCGGTTGCTGAAATAGGTGAGACTGGGGCACCTCAGTCACGCTGGCGACTTTTAATAAAGTTTTCCTAAGTAGTTATTATAAATGACAACTAATACGTTGTGTGTAATTGAAATAATTTAGCAAGGTCCGTATGTAATTCTATCATATTACACGGATGTCCCGCTTCTATATGCCCAGTTAGCACCCGCAGGATATACTCATTCCAACCTAATTCATTAAATAATTGTCAACTAGGTATTAACTTACCGCCCCGACTTCACACGCATGTACTACAGAGATTACTTACTTATAGAGTGAGAGACTTATAGAGTCTAGTAAATTAGTAACATTTACCTATTAAAATGATATATGACACTAAACACCGAACGTCGCATCGGTTTGTCAATATTTTAGTAATATTACATAATTAATTATCGTAAATATCCACTTTTTGATGCTGTTATTGTTCAGCAGTTCTTTTACAGTACAGATTATCATTCTGTAAAATGCTTAGAGTACGTTATACATTGACTACAAACGTTATAGATAAACTCTACCAAACACAATAGCTACAATTACTACTATCATAATGCTTTTACATATACATACATATACATATACTACTACTTATACATATTTACTCTTATCTCTAAGCAACATATTTTATTGTCCACAGGTTAGCGGCCTCAAATACGAAACCCAACTGCGAACACTGAACCAATTTCCGGAAACACTGCTAGGAGACCCAAGTAGACGCATACGATACTTTGACCCGCTACGGTGAGTTAAACATTATGTTATACCTATTTTCCTATAAAATTCTAATCAGAATGCTATAGAAACTACAGCTAATCTTTATCTTGTTCAACTTAAGCATAGACGAAGCCGAGATCTCTTTCTGTTGTTTTATATTTTCCGTATACATTCAATGGTCATTAAATATATCACATAATTATGGGCCATATCATCTGCCAATCGAATATATATCTATAAAACAAATACTTATGAATTTTTTTATACATTATCTTTATGTTTATACATATTATAAGCTGATGGATTATAACCAAGCATTATATGTTTTATATACTTTTGAAATACGAATTATAAATATATGATTTCTTTATTATACGTCTATAAAGTTATGAATATCCGTTACAATGTTTAGATATGTATTTTATGTTGCACAATTCCTAAATGTTTTAGTAAACACATCGCCATAGTTGTTTATTGTTGTTACGGTATGTTTATTTTCAAATCAAACAATTGATATGTAATTTGTTGTTGTTTCAGGAACGAATACTTCTTCGACAGAAACCGCCCGTCGTTCGACGCTATACTCTACTACTACCAAAGCGGTGGACGACTCCGTCGTCCCGTCAACGTACCACTGGATGTCTTCTCAGAGGAGATCAAATTCTACGAGCTGGGAGAACAGGCCACCAACAAATTCCGGTATGGACTTTCGATATAAACGTCTTTACCTAACGAATGTGCCCTATTTTAATTTCATATATTGATTTCAGGGAAGATGAGGGCTTCATCAAGGAAGAGGAGAAACCTCTGCCCTCCAACGAACGCCAGCGCAAAATCTGGCTGCTGTTCGAATACCCCGAGAGCTCCCAGGCCGCCCGCGTTGTCGCCATCATCTCCGTATTTGTGATCCTTCTTTCCATCGTGATCTTCTGCCTGGAAACCCTTCCGGAATTCAAACACTACAAAGTCTTCAACACCACCACCAACGGCACTAAAATCGAGGAAGATGAGGTCCCCGACATTACTGACCCATTCTTCTTGATCGAAACCCTTTGCATAATCTGGTTTACCTTTGAATTGATAGTGCGGTTCTTAGCTTGTCCAAACAAGTTTAATTTCTTTAGAGACGTGATGAATATAATCGATATAATAGCCATTATCCCTTACTTCATCACTCTCGCGACTGTAGTGGCAGAAGAAGAAGATACCTTGAATTTGCCTCGAGCTCCTGTGTCCCCACAAGATAAATCCACCAATCAAGCTATGAGTCTGGCCATACTTCGGGTAATTCGTCTTGTTCGAGTCTTCCGTATCTTCAAGCTGTCTCGTCACTCCAAAGGGCTACAAATTCTTGGACGCACACTCAAGGCATCCATGCGCGAACTCGGACTTTTGATATTTTTCCTGTTTATTGGTAAGTGCCAAGTAAATTTTGATTACCATTTATATATTTTTTCCGGATACAAAATAATATCAGTGTAATCTATTATAACAGTAAAAACCCATATACAACAAAGGTAATAATCACAGTTCTATTAAATAATAATGTATGCGTCCGACATTACAACCTACATTACAACATCTAAATGAATGGACGGACCGCGCTTTATATATTTAAAAAAGTACTAATGCTTACTTCGGATAAAATCAGTGCTTTCTTGACCATATGTGGTCTGAACGGCCATATATAATGCGGTGGAAGCAGCTGCTGGCTCGACTCGACAAGCGGTGAACGCCTGATGGTGCAGCGCCAACGCGGCGCGAGCCATCCACGAGCTTGCGTGCACAATGTATTTTGTGTTCGCAGGAGTGGTCGTGTTCTCCAGTGCCGTTTTCTTTGCGGATAAAGATTGCATCGATACCAATTTTTCCTCTATACCTGATGCCTTTTGGTGGGCAGTAATTACGATGACGACAGTCGGCTATGGGGATATGAGGTAACCCGCGTCGCGCGACCAGACTCTCCGTCCCCTTGCCCGCTCGCAAACGCTCCCCGCCATTGTATGTCGCACTGTATTCTCCGTTGGTGTATGCTTGTTCTTAAAGGTGTGGTGCTGTTTTCATCTGCGGTGTACTTCGCTGAGGCCGGAAGTGAGAACAGCTTCTTCAAATCGATACCTGATGCGTTTTGGTGGGCGGTCGTGACAATGACGACCGTAGGATACGGAGACATGACGTATGATACAGCGACTTCACCCTAAATTTCATCTTTGCCTTCTCGTCATTTCATTTTATCCTTCAATTTTAAATTGGCATTTTAACACAACTGTGATTTTCTTTCGCCACATCATGTAACTACATATGCTTCAGTTTGATTTTATCGTCGGTTCGCTTAGAACTTAACCGATCACTCACTTTATATTCACTTTTTTTGAATTATTGCACGTATAAATACGTCCCTTAATGTCTTGTTATCTTATTTTACAGTTATTTTGTTATCATATCTTCCTGAACTTTACAATTTTACATGGAAACGTAGCTGTAAAATTTTCCATTACTCACACGATATATTGGCGAGCTCGTAAAAAACAAGTGATAAGTCGTTGGTGTGACAATCGCCCCTCCCAAAGCGTATTTTTGAGAGAGCTTAAATTATAGTACTACTAGTACACTTCAACTCTAACGGTGTTAATGACGATCGAACAAAAGCAAACCAAGCGGACACACCAGGAATCGAGTTGAAGTGAAACCTGTCGATGAATCCCACGTCCAAAAAATGTGTACTCCTCTGTAACGCTTCTGCTAAAATATATGTATACCTTATACATTTATTCGTATTGATGTTGTGAATGTTACACTACATTACTAGCTCATCGAAAATGGTGACTATTCTCAACTGTGCGCATACGTTAATATCACTACTTCCCTTCATAGAGGCCATTATAATTATTTTGCTTATTTATCCCGATTATACTAATTCGGAGTATAAATTTCGTCTATCTCTCTCTATATGTAATTCATTTCGAATAACCAGCAATCTTTTTCTTCCCGTTAGCCCCAATGATATATGGTAAATTTTACACTTGAATGCTACTATGTAAAATTGTTGTTCAGAAACGTCATGCTTGAGTTTGTTATTGGCTTCCCGTCGTAGCTTTCACACCATTTTCGATAGAGGTATTACCGGAACGTGAATGTTAGACGTAAAGTATCAATTGCATGACCACAAACTGATTGAGTAGGTAGGAAAGAACACCTGTGATCGTTGTTGATGTCTTAGTTTATTATTTAACTTATTTCTGTGTTTTTTAATTTTATATTGATTATTATTAGAACTCTACAACCGCATCCAATATAGATCGTTAATAAAAATTATTTCTACGTCTATTCAATTTTTGACGAAGCTCTGGCGTGAGACTCAATCGAGTGATCATGTTAAACTTTTTGCTACAAAACATATTTTACATGATAAATAATTCTATGCTTTTGTTTTGACAAACGGAACAGCGAAATGTTTAACAAATTCTCGCTCGATGGAGGTCACAAAAAATATACTGTTGAAAAGAGTTCAGTCGTAGAATTAATTTTTGTTAACAGTTCCGAGTCCACTCTTGAATGGTACAGCTGGCGGTAAACACTGCAAAGCAAATAATTAATATCGTTACAGTTGTTCTGTAACATGCTGGCGTGTATGAATGGTGAGGAATGGAATTGTATTGCTTGCGGTCTTCCCTATTACTGCTTAGCGAATGGTCTAAATATTTGAAGCGATTTAAAAAATACAATCCCGTCGTTTATTTTCAATTTACATTTTTTTTATGGTTTTCGTTTTACTTTAGTAATAACCACTCCATTCGATGTCATGTTATAGTTGTTCTGATGAGGGGGTACGTATTGAGCAATGTAACGCATGTTTTCTTGTCTATAATTTTATTTTATTTTATACCATTTACAATCAAATTTGTTAGTGCCTGCCTAATGTTCACAAAAATTAATGTATATTTTTTTTAAATAGGCCGGTGGGCGTCTGGGGCAAGATCGTTGGCTCGCTTTGTGCCATTGCTGGTGTGCTTACCATCGCACTGCCAGTCCCCGTCATCGTATCCAACTTCAACTACTTCTACCATCGTGAGACTGACCAGGAGGAGATGCAGTCGCAGAACTTCAACCACGTCACCAGCTGCCCGTACCTGCCCGGGACTATGGGCGAGCCCTACTTGAGTAAGTCCACTTCCATTGCTTAACACTATATTTTTTAAGCACATTTCATTGTCGATATTTGTTCGCAGTTTATTTAATGTGAATCGTCCCTTGAATTTTTAGCTGCATGTCATTCTTAAAGCTTTATATTTGATTTGGATCGCATGTTTTGTTTTATTTTATTTGTTTCTTTTACGTTCGTTTTCGATAATTTCAGGTGGAAAGGACGATGAGAAGGACGAGGTGTGCAGTGATCAATGACTATATGATAGTGTACTTTCATTTCCTCTTTCGTTAAGGACAAAATACGATCGGTAGTGACGATTCTTGTGATACTACTGAGTAAGAGCCCTAAAGTGTAGTGCTAATGTAAATATTGTTATAAGGGATGTAAAGATATTACGTTAATAAATTTGTTATTTATTTTTCATTTTAATTATGTTTGAATGAATATTTTTGTTATAGAATGTGGATAGTCTTTAATTATAATAGTAAATGAAAATCGACAGGTTAGAACTGTTTTCATGTTCTACTTTTCGATATATACCTCATTTTAGCGTTGTAGCATAACTCTATATTTTTTTACTGAAATACAAAGAAAGATATGACATATTGGATTTTGAATTATTCGCTACGTTTGCATACACAATTCTCACACGTGCAACTTGAATTCGAACAGCGGCGTAGAATGAACATTATTTACAGTGAAATCACAGGGAATTGCAAACGATTGTTTGCATATTCGAATGCTCGCTTCAGACTGCTAGCAATTTAGATCCACCAGTAGGTTTATGCAATGCATATTTGAATAATAATGCAGCGCAACGTATTTGTCAGGAGTATGAGAGAGCAGTTCAATATTGACCTATTTATATCGTTGGCATCACAGACACATTAATGACTTTATTTATTTTTGTATGAATAAGTTTTATCATTATTATGTCTTAACTTAAATTTATATTATACCTTATTTTTTTTATCATAACAATTATAGTTGTATACTTTAATGGGATACATCTGGCAATAGTATATATTTTCTTTTTTCAGTATTATTTGCCCAAGTTAAACATAAATCAATTGTAATATCAAAATATAATGAGGGCTGTTACTATTTAGATATGCTTTTATTAATAATCCCTAGAGGCACTTGTAGTTCCAAAGTATAATGTGTCGCTCGCAATGTTATAATATCCAAAGTAATCCTTGAATAGTCTTCCTCATTCTTTTCATCGCAGACAAACATTACTCAATACAAAAAACTGTTTTTAATTTTAGATATTGATTAATCAATAGACAAGCAATGTATTTTTTACATTTATAAAAAAATGAGCACATTAACCACCATTACCACGTGAACAGACAGTAAGTTTTTATTTTGCGATTGATGATTTCTTTTTGGCTTTTCTTAGGCTTGACGCTTTTTATTCAATGAAATAATACATATAACTGCTTAGAATATTTATAGTTCTATCATATTATTTATAGTGCTACAAGAATTTTAAAACTCCCATATAATGACTGTAGCTCATGTCAAATCTATCATTAAAGAATCAGGCAGTATTAATTATATTATAAACATACATATTTAATGATTTTACAATTATACTTACATGACTAAAATAATTGCATATTGTTTCATCGTTACTATGAATAGGGGTGGAATTTACGACTATCTCTGCATCTGTTTTGTTTTCTAGAGTTACGAGTTAGAAAGCGTATAAAGCTTTTGGGGATTAGTTTCCAAAACAAAAGTAATTTTACAGTACACGGTCGTGACTTCCATATAAGAAATTAAAAAATCCCCTTAATTGTCGTTAGATGAGATTGTAGGTAATCGCGGTAGAGATTCTGATATGTATATAAATATCTCGTGTCACGATGTTTTTCTTGGACAAACTACGAAACTACTTATTTATTCATTTTTATTCTATTTGGCACACTGTCTGTAATTTGGTCTTAGTAAAAAGATATATCTTTTATTATAAAATAGTAAACCTTAATATTTTTAGCTGGATCAATAAGGTTTACGTTGTAAACAATTTGTCAAATAAATTTATTTATGTAACTTGAATAAAATAATAAAAAAAATACAATAATTACTTACATTTGGTGGACTGAACAGCGTAACGTTTTCTACTAAGCAACTTAGAGCAGCACGTATTGTTAGGAGACGTATGCTTAAAAAATCACTCAAGTTTTTGCAATCACGCAGAGCAAGAGTTGAATCAAAGTAACCGACAATTTTAATTAAATAAATTCTTAAAGTAAGATACACAAAAACTTTAACGCTAACGAGTATGTCCTGTGCCATAAACAAACTTACTGTACTTATAATCATACTGTGTCCTACATCTTCGATGATAAATTGTTGAAGTTACACAATAAGATAGATCGTATTTTGTTAAAAAATTCTAATAAACAAACAAATGTTGATTTTTTTATATCAAACATACGAGTACGTATTAGCAATTAATCTAATTGGCGGTTGTCTACGATGAACCCGCAAAATGCCGCTTAATGGAGTTCATTTAGTAAATTGACCGTCATAATATACTCACACTTTCCACTGGCTTTATTAATTATGAATTGATCAGTTCAGTTTATATCTTGCATTATTGAATGGTAATTCAACCCTCCATAATTGAACTTGAATTGTATGTTATTGAGTTAATCGTTGCACCCTTGTCTTCTAAGGTTACTGTGACTTGGAAAGTCACGGTAATAGCTATACCGAAGCAATTACAGTAATATGGCAAATTTATATTCCATCATAGCCAGTTGACTATCGATTCAATATGTATTGTACTTTAGTAGAAATTCAAATAACACAATAATGAATACCCTATTTCATTGCAATATGAACTTATTTACAATTATGTTTACATTCGAAATTTGCCAATTGATCATTGTTTCAATAATTATAAAACAATGATAAATGAGTTTATATACCTCTAGATTATATTACAATAAGTATATATTTATACTTATATTTAAATTTGCAAATTGAACATCGACTTTTAGATATGAATAAACACAGTGATTTAGACTTTACAATCAATCGTAATGAAATAAGAGTTGTCTATTACAGACAACTCTTATTTCATTACGATAACAGCAAATTGGCAATTGTTAAAGTACAATTTCCAATAGAACTAATGCCTTAAAGGACCACTTAACACAACTATAAATTAGACTTTATGTAACACTATAATCCTCAACTCTAATTCATTGCCTAAAGAGCCAATTGGCGACTGTATTTATACTCAAAACTGCTAATTGAACATCGATTCAATAATCATGCTATTGAGGTCCGAGTAAAACAATGATAAAGTAGACTTTATGTAACACTATAATTAAGTTGTAAATCAACAAGTACACAATATACCCCGTATTAATGCGGCGTCGTGGCAATGAGCCAGACTGTTGAGTGCCAGTTAGGAATTCGAGGGATTTCGAAACAAAATGGCAGTTTGTTTATGTAGTACAATTGAATGAATCTAAATATTAAATTTAAACGATGCTGACTATGTTACTTCTTTCTAAATCTAGTATGAGCTATAGGCTAGTATTTTAATCTCATAATTTAGTAACTAGCAGTCTCTGAATATCAAAAATGTAACTCTAATAATTACTACTAAACAAAATAGAATATTTCCATCTGAGATTAACTTAATATTACTTATATTATAATAAGTCAAACCCACATCTCTTGAAAATCGAAGTAAGCAAATACCTGAATGTTATGGCGATCACAAAATATAATTACTAAAGTATATGTAATGGATAATAATGTGACAATATTGAACTAAAGTACTGCCTATAATTAGGATATATATTTTTGTCTTTTGGTCTACATATGATGATAATCTACAAGACTGGCAATAATTTGTCAACAAGTCGACGTCATAAAGTCTAACTCTAGATTTTTTATAAGTATGCCGTCCGTATTTATTTTCAACATGATTTTGGTTGCTACTTTGCCCGATACGAGTAAACTACATCCTCTCAATCAATGCTATGTACTAGAATTTATACCATTTATCATGATACTCTGTTAAGGTATGAAAGTATATAAAACAAATATAAATAGTATATGCTTAAATTTAATTAAATTCAAATAAACTTAATTGAAGTACTTTTGAATAATCATATTTTATTGATTCTACTATTCATTCGAAACACTGACACCACAAAAAAAAAGGGCAAGAAACTTGCGAATTGCTCTTTTAAATAAATGCTGTTCAGAATCACAAGTAAATAAATAGTTACATGGGTATATATATATAATATAAAAATAACCAATCACTTCCCAAAATAACAATATTATATTGCCTAAACTTAAAATAGATACGAAATATGATGTCAATATCCATCTATTTGTAGTGACGGCGACCTAAATTGATATAATAATAAACCTAATTTGTATACGAGGTTGACATCAGATTTCCACTAAATCGAGCTTAATCGAAAGTCAGTGAACATTGCCAATTAACCATCAGATTGATTAACAAGTATAAGCCTATTTTCCTTTACTATTTAGTTGAAATTTATAAAACCACACAAATGCTTTTACTTTATAATATATCTCTAACAAATCTTAAGAGATCTTAAGGATCATTGTAAGGATCCCGTTTTACTTTTTTGGCAGCATTTCAATGTCCTATTTCTGAAACTATTAATGGTATCTGTTTGCAATTTAAATAAGACTAAAGGATTATATAATTAGTTTAAAATTAAATGCTATGTCTTAAAATCAGCGAAGTCAAAACTTAATTTCTAGTAAGTTTATCTTAGAGATTACGTCATGGGTTCGGCAGCACAGTAGGCAAATTAGACACGAAATTTGTCAGTTTTTTTAATATATCCTAACGAGATACACGACAATATTAACTGATATTAAGTAAGGACATTGGTTAACTATATAGAATTCGTCATTCGTCAAATTAGCAACTAACATACTATATAATCAATATTTTCTAAAAATAATCAATAGAGTTAACTAAATACTTTTAGGATTATAAAAATATAGTATTATAAAATAAAAGATACAATAATAAATAAACTTCTTGTACGCATAAAATCAAACTGCATATATATTTTAATAAACATAAAAAATATTAAGGCTTTTTTTTACATTTTACAAGAGGAGTTTCTTGTTTGTCTAATCATAAAAAATACAATCGAAAATGCAAGATTATTATGTTCCTTAAACCAGTGGTTCGAATATATTAATGGTATTGGACTAATGATTCTTTCTATTCTATTCAAGTGGAATTAATAGTTCATAAATAAAATATAGTAATAATGCTACACTTAATTACCTTAAAGGTACATTTTATATGAACCGCGGCTTATTATCACTGTATATTACTCCGCCTTTCGTTTGTATCTCAATATCCTGGTACGATCGTTTATATACCTATTATAATGTAATTA